TGATATTGTTTATTAATGCAGATTATAAGAATGCATGATAGGGTTTGTGCTGTGTAACTAGCTGGTGCCAAACAAATATATATGATATTAGTTTCATTCAAGCTATCACAAATATTATTGCACAGAAGGTATTATTGCTTTGTATCTATTATGTAGCAGTTCCCCTTTAATTCCCAGAGCAGTTCACATACTTTATCTTAAAAAACTTTACAGCAACTGTGAAAGATAGGTAAATACAGCATTATTTTATTTAAAATATGTAAATAATCCTCAGAAAGAAGCAACAAAATGAAATAGAATTTGCTGCTGTAGATAAAAACAGTAACCAAAACTAAAGGACAATTATATGAAGCATCAGCAGAAAGTGTGAGTAAACAGTACCGCCTATGCCTGGCATCTGGAAGTCAATAGCTTTGACCCAAACTGTAGATGAGATGTTGCACCAAGAACATCTTCAAGTGTCACCACTGGAAAGATTAGTCTGAGGGCTCATTCCAATAAGCATTTGGAGTGTGTGTGTGTGTGTGTGGAGGGGTGCCTGGAAGGTGCACACATTCTGGCATCCCCATAAGCATCCCCAATTCATTCTGCTTGAATGATGCTCTACAGGGTCTCTGTGCAGGAATTGAGTTGCAAATTCATATGCTTGGCATCCTGCTGGGCTTCAGAATTTAAATTAGACCAAAGGAGCCACAATAAGCAGCTTGTTAAATGGGGGCATGGCTTGCTTGTTGTGACACGTCAGATATGAGCAATCTGGACACTTGTTGCTGCCTGCCAGAATGCTGATTCCTGCAGTGCAATGTGCAGACTTTCGGCAGATGAAGGCAATCCCTTGGACAGCATTTGCCAGACTACTTCTTGTTGCGAGATTACGCTTGCCTTTGCCATGTACAGTCCCAGAAGAGGGTTTGGCTCAAGGAATTTATTATCTGAAAGAGCAGCTACTTGCTACACTGTTTAAGTCTGTACTTCTGTACAGTACATCGAAACTTGTTGAAGCACTGCCACTTTTGCTACTGATCACCAAATGCCCAAAACCACCCCTTACTGTTCTGGAAAGATCTTACAAATAATTAGGGTAAATTAGGTGAACAAGGTATAATTATAACACTGGGGGGTGCATTCTAAGGCAGAGTAATTCATGAAGTGTAGGGCTACCAAGCCAATGGGGTGCAGGGATATAAAAGGAATGACACTTGTGGCATTCTGGTGTCTGTCACGAGCTGGGATATGAGAAAAAATAATACCAAGTACATTCCCTGGGTGCTGTGAAATGCAAAAGAAATGAGATAATTCATTCGTATGGGGTGAGTCAGTGGCTGCCTTTTTCATGAGCACGTATGTGCTCGCTCTCTCACACACACATGTGCACACACGTGTGCATGAGGGGTGAATACGCACACTTGCAACCATCTACTGTCCTCTGATAAACTTGAAATGGGTATTTAGGATCAGCGCCAGACATGGCTCTGGTTTACTTTTCTCTTTTTCTCCCTTTCCCTTTCAGCCATTATGAGCAGCCAAGAGGTGGTAGAGAGCTCCAGCACAGAAACAAGGACTTCTGGATCATCTCAGACATACAGTACTGATGTCTTCAATACACTGGGCAAAGGAAGGACATTTCGGACCATAGCTAGCAGCAATTCCATGTCCACTGGAGCAACAGGAAGCTCCACATGGTACACTGGAATGACTATATCAGGAATTTTAGCCCAGCATTCATCTTCAGTGATGCAGACAGAAATAGCTGATGCCTCATCAAGTGCTGTGGACACTGCTGAATTTGAAACCGTGACTTCAAGGATATATTCTCCCAAGGCACCAATTTCTTCACTTTCGGAGAAATATTATCCTGGTGAGTTTCACCACTGACAGCACATTCAGTGTGTGCAAGGATGGCAAAACACCAGAAAAATATGGAAATAGTAGAACTTACAGAGTATGTTGGCGTAAAGGGAAGCAGAGAAGGCCCAGCAGAACTGCAAAGAATATGGCCTCTTTTTATTAACTATTAGAAATCCAAGCATAATGTCATGGTGTTGGGTCATTTATATATGGTAATAATTAAATCCCCCAGTTTTACGGTTAATTTGAGTTAAAAATAACTAGGAGGTGGGGGAAATCCAAATAAAAACTGAGTTTTGCCATACTTGGGGGGCTGTGGGAGGGCAAAGTAGCCAAGAAAGTCCACTTCTGCCAGCTCAGTTGCACATACCTCAACCTGGATCTGACCCAATGAAAACTTGGCAAAGGTGCAAAGAAATTGAATCCTTCTAATGAGAAAAAACTAAAAGTGTGTTGGTCAGTCAAGGAAAGGTATGAATGAGAATAAAGCTGAATGCTGTAACCTCCATACATTGGTACATCAAGAGTTTTGCATATCTTTGGCTTATTTTGTATAATTTATCCTGTTGCTGCTTTCAGGAGGGATGAGTGAAGAGTTGAAATACACTTTCCTCCTACTCTTTGAATCTTGGGTCCTTGGGCCAATTTAGTGGAATATATAATTAATTAATCAATACAGTATTTTACTAGATATTGCCTTCACATTTCCAAGCTCATTTTCACGATCTTATAGACTACTAACTTGCTTTATTAAAAACTCTGAAAATCAACATTCACAGGATGTTGGATTCTAAGCCCAGAACCAAATTCCATAAATGCAAATTACATTCCTGTGCCTTTAAAGATAACATTGGAGACAAATCTAACAGTCTCTGAACACATTTCTTTCTTTTTTGCAAGCATCAAGAGGAGGTTGCATTTTTGAACAGAGAGATAGCAACAAGGAATTGCTTAATGCTTTCTCTTCTGTTTTCTATTCTAAATAGATTCCCCCAAATTGGGGAAGAGTATGTAAGTAAGTAGAAAACTGGGGCAAGGAAGTTTTGGTGAGGAAACCAGTGGAGGAGAATGCATTAGCTTCCACTCAAGTGGGTAGCCGGTTAAGTACACTTGTTTGTCATGTTGAAAAAGAAGAGAGTTTGGAGACTGTTACATGTGTAAAGTCCAATTTAGGTTCAGGTACAATCTAATTCTGGCAAGCACTGTGCAATTTTTGAATTCAAATATATTTCATTATGTATCAAGGTATTACGTTGGTGGTAGCCATTGTTCCATAAGTTATTTATATGTGGAACATCTTGAAACTTGTTTGAGCCTGATGCAACCTCATCTTCTTGTTTTTTCAAATTGCAGCCACTGGAACTAGCCAGCATATTGATAGCAGCTGGGATGCAGAAAGCAGAACATCTGGTTTGCACACTAACAGCAGGGGCAGTTTGGCGACAGTCTACAGAAGTGCAGAAAGGACTTCACAGGTTCTTACAGATAGCATCACTCTGACTGATTCAACAAGAAAAGATTTGATTTCTCAGAAAGAATTTTCCACCTCTGCTGATCAAACCCAGTTCCCAAATCCTGATCAAACCCAGTTTCCATCTCATGCAACACATTCAGGAGGAAGAAATAGCACATCAAATGCCACACAGCTTCCTAATTCTTCATCAAGGACTGTGTTTACCCCTTCTCACCTTGCTCCAAAGACTAGTACGTCGTTGCTTTTCTAGTCCATAGCATTATTTCCCATTAATTACGTTAATCAAAATAACAGTAATGCAGCTATGTTAGAACTTGCTTAGTCTAATGGCCTGTTTGCTGTGAGCTAGAAAGACCATGTTTCAAATCCTAGTTTAGCCATGTAAACAAGTCCCCATTTGTGCAGAAAGAGGAAATCATCATAAAAGGATGTGTTTTCTCCTGCATCATTCCAAAAAGGGCAAGAATCCTGGCATTCTTTGTGTCTGGCCGGTCCATCCATCCATTGCTAACACAGGATTAATATTTGTGAGTAATATTTAATTTCCCACCATGCTGCAGGGTGATGCTACATTGGGATATTGTGGGAAATGAAAGTGGCCACTTGCCTATACTACCTTCAGGTAAATCCTCAGTTGGGGGTTCAGTTTGTTGGGACTCTGACAGCTACCTTGGGGTACTAACTGCTTCTATGCACGATACAGTTCCTCAACTGTTGCATCCCGGCTTTTTTCTAGGAAAAGTCCCCATGTTTTGTGGTTTGTGGTGGCATTTTGTGATGAAACCCAGTTGTTGCACCAATGTGTGGATAGACCCAGCATCTATAACTTTTTGGTGCTCCTGTGCTTTTTAATGAAACATTTCTTCCTTGTGAGTCCAGCCCATTTTATTGCTTCCTCTGGATCTGGACTAGGAGATTACTGATGAATAGCTTCAGATTTGCCTCTAGAATAGCCTGTCGGAATCACCCCAATGGCAATTTCGTTTCCTGCAGGGAATTACTTATTGATTTCCTCTCATTATTTCTGTTTCTAAAGAAAAAGAAGAGAGGAAATCAACAAAAGGGGGCAGACAATGGTAGAATGGATAGGGTAGGCAGAAGAAGCCATAGCTGCCTTGTTTCCTGCTTCATTTGGGCATGTAAAGGTATATGTGCTTCCTTAGATTGCAGCCTGGCAGGACCTCTCAAAAGGTGCCTGAGTGAGTGAGTGAGTGAGTGAGTGAGTGAGTGAGTGAGTGAGTGAGGCTGCCCAGAATTGGGAGTACTGCTAACTCAAGGGGGCATCTCCTTATTTGTGAGTTGGGGGTTCAGTGGGGACCCAAATAGGCCAGTGAAGGACCTGACCAAATTTATTTCTGGCATCGAATTGTGAGTGGAAATGCGAAGTATCTGTGCTTTTGACACCATTTACCTGTTCATTGCCGTTGCTGTCGAAGAGTTTAAATAATTTTGTCCTAAATCATGATGGCTACAGGCTGGCAATGCTCACGGCACAAGCGCTGCATGCAGAACTCATTCAGTTTATAGAAATTGCCTCTTTAAAGGACACACTGCTCATGGAAAAAATGTATGGTTCTGAAACAAGATTATGTCCCCTCAAATGAAACCTTTACATTTTAATATAAGGCAGAATGTTATATAGCATTACCTTGGCTGAAGCTCACAGCTCAAAAGTAGATGGAGTTACAGCAGCAATTCCAGCTTTATTAAACCATTGCCAGAGGTGCCTGCCACAGTGGTGACATGTTGTACAAATCAAAAGGGTACCACTTTGGCTGTGGGCTTATTAGATTCATCACTCCCATCCTTGAGCTCATGGAAGGGAGACAAGGGTAACTTTGTCGACATCTGGATCCAGTGCCAAATACTTACGGATGTGCATGTGGTGTGTGTACTGCTCAGTATTAAAGAGGATGGAAATAATACCAATATAATTTAATTTAATCTAATGTTGTAAGTCACCTCATGGATTCTTCTGGAAGGGGTAGAAACAAAGTAAATAAAAATAAACATTGTGTGCAGCACAGCATATGCTGTGAGATTTTTAAAATTTGTTTTAAATATACTAAAAAAGTCCAAAAAAGAAATACAAAACAAAACAAAAACCCCTGGGCCTACCAAATATCCTAGTTTAACTTTTCTAATGAAGAAAAGCTTGATTCCAGCCCTTATGCTTGCAGAGAAAAGAGCTGAAAAAGTCTTTTTCTTGGCCTTCATGTTCTCAAAAACTGCCTTTCTCAGTTCTTGTGCTCTGTCCTTTCTCTAACCCCAAAATGTTGGTCAAACAAGGTATTACTGTACAATCGAACACAGGAGGTATGGACAACTAGCAGGCTTCCAGATGTTTTGGCCTACAGCTGCCATCAACTTTCACTGTTGACTGTGCTTGCTAGGACTGATGGGAATTGTAGGACAAATAAGCTGAAGGGCCACAAGTAGCCTGCCTCTGTTGAAGCGGTTTATTTGGAAATAAGTCCCACTGTGTTCAAAGTCCCACTGCATTAAAGCAGACTAAATATAGCTCACGGGAAATTACTAACTCAGTTATATGGACATGTTTGTTATTTGCCCTTTCTCTTGCTGTCATTGTTTCTGCACAGTTATGTGAACTATTAACAGATCCTATAAAAATATTTCATCACCATTATTTTACTGGCATGTTTTCCAAATTTAAAGTTTGCTAGAAAAAAATAAGCCATTATTTCTTTTGCAATTGTTCATTTGTATTAGTTTTCCACCAAATGTGTATGAATCTAATTAAAGGAAGGAAATCTGTGATACACTTTCAGCATGTGTGGACGGCATACGTAAAAACCTGCTGTTGTTTTTCAGCGACAGAAGATCATAGTCAGCCACAGAGCAGCTCAAACACAGAGGGAAGAATTTCCAGTTCTCGCACAGACAGTTTGTCTCTTTCAGAGCTATCTGACAGAGCTCAAGGGAGGACATTACAAACTCTGAGAGAGATCAGTGTTGTTCAAATCGTCACAACCTCTGGCAATGAAATCTCTAGCTCTGCAGACCTCAGTGAATCGTCTTCTGTATTAACTCCATGGCCATACAGACAAATGGCTTTGTCAGCAGGGCACCCTGAAGTGACGGAGGCTTTCACTGAGGCACTGGTCACCTATTTTCAGGCTCCTTCAGAAACAAGAGGTAAAGGGTTATCTCCCTTTCCCCCCCAAATTTCAGATCAAAGTTTTCCTTATTAAGGATAGGGATTAATGCAAGATGTTAAGAATGAAGAGGGAAATAATACATAGGTTATAGCTAGAAGGACAAGTTGCTGTGGCATTTGAGAATGAAGCTGAGTAAATTTGCAGGATTTATATAAAAGCATTTTGTCACTCTTTAAAGAAAGACACCCTTTTCATAATATGGGGACAGTTAAAGTTATTTATGGTACTGTTTGGAAGGATACCAGCAGTAAAGATGGTACTGAATTCAAAGTTACACTTCTTATTATATCTTCTGATTTCATTGGCAAACTATCAGATTAATAAATGACAGTTATTGAACAAATCCAGTTTTAGTCTCCTGATTCAATAAATAAATGCTAAAAACAGAACCTTTTTAAATCTGAGTATTAAAGTTTTAATCTGAGTATTCCTTGTTTTAATATGTACTGTTTGCCAAAAATTAATATTTTTCACTATATGAACATAATTATGAAAGATAATGTATGATACATCTTCCTCCCATGAAGATGATGCAGATAATTTCTTTGGGCCAGTCACAGACTCTCAGCCCAACCTACCTCACAGGGTTGTTGTTGTTGTTGTTGTTGTGGAGATAAGATGGAGGAGGAGAATGATGTAAGCTGCCTTGAGCCCTTTGTAGGAAAAAGGCAGGATATAAATCAAAAAATAGGTAAATAAAATAATAATTTTGTATTGTTTCAGCTGTAGAAGGCAGTCATCAGATGCGTAGCAGCTCCAATACAGAAACAGCTCTTTCTAGCTCTCATCAGGACAAGGTGTCTGTTTCAGATGTAGCTGACAAAGATGAAGATAGAATACTGCAAACTCTAAGAGACTCCAGCAGTTCTCATAATGCAACACAAATGTCCACCATGGCTAATACAAAAACTCTCAGCTCTACGGACATCTCTGATTCTTCTTACACTTGGACTGTGGTACAGAACACAAAAATGGATGTGCTGCTAGAAGCAGTGACACATTCTGAAGCTGTTTCAAGAATAACAGGTAAAGGATCATGCTCTCCTTGTTTGCTCCAGATTTCGGAGCAGTATTGGGGCTTTCTGGTGTAAAGGTAAAGCCAAAATGTTTGGAATTGATATAGAAAAGATTAAAACTCGAAAAAGATTAAAATTTGAAAAAAGTAACTACAAGTGCATTTAGGGATGGAGCTGACTGCAACTACTATACACAAACATACGGGATTTATATAAGAATACAAGTTAGCCTTTAAAGAAGTATCTTGATTGCTGGACCAGTGGGAACAGATAAAGCCAACTGTGGTATGTGCTTTTGTTTTGAAGGATATCGGCATGAAACATGGTACTAATGCCAACATTTACTTTCCTTTGATTATCTCTTCTGATTAGATTATAGAACACCCAGATTAAAAGATGGCAGTGATTCCTGAGAAATATGGGTGGGGGGGATTGCATAAATGTCCAAGTAATTCAGAATGAGTACTTTTTCTGATACTAGGGTAATACCACTTCAGGAATATTAACTAGATCATACAATGGATTCACAGATGATTATCTGAATTGTCAATATATTTGTAATGGAAGAAGCAGTTGTTGGTGTTCCCTTAACAGCATTATTATGAGAAATGATAGTAGATGAAGTTAAAAGCAAGGGAGATGGTTCAGAATATTGGGTAGGCATTATATTCATTTGAACCTGCCCAGTCTCCAGCAGATGATTCTGATTTTAGCACCAAGCAAGGAAAATGTAACATCTTAAAAACAGAGGTTGTATTTAATATTATTACCAAGCTTTATTCTGCTCTCAATATGCTTGATAATATGGCTTCTGTGTGCAGGAAAATTACACCTAAAATAAATTGCACTCCTCTGACTAAGTATAGTATTAGTATGTTCATATCAGAACATAGTTCTACTCCTTGTGCACAAAAACATGTATCCTTTTCTGGACAATTCTAAAGTTTCAGAAATTCAGTGACATGCTTATGTTTGTATACCATCACTGTAATTTAGCTGGGATCCCATGAAAACTGAGCACAAAAGGTAAACAAAAAGAAGCACTTCTGATTACACTATATATACTGTAACAGCCACCCCACTCGGCATACTACCAATCATGGTATGGCACTTATACTGCCTCCACTTATAGAGTCAGGCACACATGGAGCCACTTCAAGTAAGAGCAGTATACTTCATGATTTCACCTGCTGACCCCATCAGGTATTCAAAGTACATTTTGCTAGGTACAAGGACTCCTCTATAGCAGCAGCCACTATAGTGCAAACAATGGTGTAGCACAAAAACAAATTATAGGCAAGCAGACATACAGAAGTTCAATCTCTTTTGAATGATTTAAACACATAACCAATCACCTTTGTGAATGACCAATGCACAAAACATTGCTTGTTTTACTTATTATAAGGATGTTAATCCGGGAGATTTTTGTCAAGCTTCCATTGGGTTGGATCCAGATTTGGTGCTTGCAAGCTTTGTTGGGAGAAGTGGGCTTTTAAAGGCCCCTTTCTCCAGCCTTCCAGTCAGCCCCAAAAATGCAACATGGAAGGTCAGGAGACCCAGCTCTATGGAGTGGGGTTGTGGTTCAGGGCAAAAGGGAGTTCCCCAAAAAGTGAATGAAGCATATTCTGTAACTGGAGCTTTACTCACAGAAGATGTCTGCACCCTGGATCCAACCCATTGTTTTATTAGACTGGCAGGTGAAATTAATGCTTTTTATTCAAGCTGTATTAATGTTATTATGGAAAGAAATGGCTTGATGCTGCATGTGGCACAACTGATTTCCTTTTATTGTGTTTTAGAAAGAGAAAATAGTGATCAGCTGCAAAGTGGCTCCAATACAAGAAGTATTTCACCTGCTCACACAGAGAGTGTGTCTATGTCAGATCCGTCCGACAGAGATGGAGAGGCAACCCGACGACCGCTAAGGGACATCAGCAGTTCATCTACAGAAGCTCAAATATTCACAGCCTCTAGCAATGAAATCCCCAGCTCTTCAGGCCTCACTGATCCTTCTGATGTGTGGACTCCAGGACAAAACAGACAAATTGATCGGTCAGCAGGTGTCCCTGATTTCACTGAGATGGCAGGTACACTTTCGGAGGCTTCTTCAGAAGCAACAGGTAAAGAATGACGATCGCTTCCTGTTTTCCAGATTTCAGAGCACTTGTCCAATATAGAGATAAAATCAAACTATTAGGAATGAATGTAAAAGGAAGAGTGCAGAAACAGATCATAGATAGGAAGGCAAACTACTAAGGGATTTTGGGGGCATAGCTGACTGAAAACATGGGATTTAGGTAAATTTTAGGTCCCTCTTTAAAAGAAGCATTTTCATTTCTATAACTGGGGAAATTTAAAGCAAAATGTTGTGTTTTCATTTTCAAATTGGTGAGGGTGGGTTTTGAAGCATATAGCAAAAGCTCTCTGGGCAGTTTGCAAAGATTAAGATCCTTAAAAATACAGTATTAAGCATACTATAAAAACTGTTTTCATACAAATATGTAAACATAGCACACAGATGTGAACACAGTGTTAACAATCAAGTTGAGAAAGTAATGTATCCTGCCTTGACTTTGCACTCACAGAAAACACTTCCACAGAGACATGTGCATTATTTGTACTCAGTTTTTTCATTCCCCCTACCTACCTACCACAGCCCTCCCTGACATATCCTATCTTGTTTTAGAGGGCACTGTACTCCTCAAGTGCATATTCTCAAGAGACATGGAGTCTTGCACTGAGAGGAGGTAAAATAGGATGACTCATCTTGTATCTTTACAAGTGTTTTCTGCTAGCTCGAAGTCTCCACTAGATATAAACTAATGCTAGAAAAAATACATTTTGGATGTAAAAAGCACAAGAGCTCAAGATGAGAAGAGGTAGTCCTTCTTTTGCTAACATTTGAGTACAGTATAATATTGGGAACCAGTGCGCCATTGTGGTTAGAATACTGGACTGGAATTTCATAGAATCATCGTAGAAGCATAGAGTTGGAAGGGGCTATAATGGCCATCAGGTCCAGCTCCCTGCTGTAGCAGGACATGAGTTTACACCATCCCACTCAGATCTCCATTTGGAAGATCTCAGTGTCCATTCAGCCATGAAGTTCACTGGATGACTTTGGACTCTCACCATAACAAACTTCAAAGGGTGGAGCCACTTTGTGTGGGAAGATGCCTCTCCAATGCCACTTGATCCCCCATCCTAAGTGACTCTCTGTAGCAGGTGTCACTGAAGCACAGGCAGTAAGAGAAGAGAAACTAAAGTGCAGGCTTCCTTAAACAAAAAGGTTCAGTCCCTTTCTACATTCTCACACACACAGCTTTGTCTGACCAGCACAGAAAACACAGGATTTTAATTCATGTCAACTTTGCTAAGTTTTAATTGTTTTCAACACATTGAACAGAAGATTAACTTGTCTTTTTTATTAGATTGATGTGACTGTAATTATTGGAAGAAATGTAGGTGCATGCAGGTAGCGCATGCACATAACATGTATAATTTCCTCTTGTTGTATTTCAGTTATTGATGATGGTGGTCAACCGTGGAGCAGCTCAAATACAGAGAACAGTATTTCCAGTTCCCATACAGATAGTGCATCTGTTTCAGGCCTACATGACAGAGGCCAGGAGAGGACATTGCGAACTCTAAGAGATGTTAGCGGTTCATATAATGTGACTCAAATATTCACAACCTCTGGCAATGAAATATCCAGTTCTGAAGGCCTCACTGATTCTTCTTATGTTCAGACTCCAGGACAGGTTAGACAAAGGGATTCGTTGTCAAGGGAACTTGATTTTGCTGCAACACCAGTTATACTTTCCCAGGCTCCTCTAGAAATAACAGGTAAAAGATGAAGCTTCCCTCTTTCATTCTAGATTTCAAAGCATAACTTTCCTAGTCCTCCGTGGTGAATAACCCAAAATCCTAGGATTGAATCTCTAAAAAAGAGATAAAGAACAGAGTATAGCTAGAGGGACAAACTTCTAAGAGAAAAAGCTTTAAAAAAAAGTATTTTATTTTGTGCTTGTTGTAAACTGTCCCAAGACGCCAGTAGATAAATAAAAAGTAAAATATATTTAAGAATAACATCACTCTTTAAAAGTAATATTTCCATTTTAACAGTGACAAAAGGAATATGTGGTGTTGCTTTGCTTTGTTTTTGAAGGATATTGACAGTACACTGACTCCTTTATTAAAATATAAAGTCAAATTAATAAATGGCACAGATTGTTGAGATACAGTCATGTGTATGGTGAATTTTGGTTGAAAGAAATAATTTGCATAAGCAGGAACACTCAGATGTTGTTGAGGTAGTAATGCGTTGTGAAGACAATGAGTTGTATCTGATGGCAACTTAGTGCTAATGTAAAGCACACTAATTTCAGTTGAGTTTTGCTGACACTCCCCCGCACCCCCATGCTGCAGCTCTCTATACCAGAGCTCATACTGTTCAGGATGGTTGATTCTGCACTCCTTGGGAGATGCTTCTCAGGAGGCTGCAGTAGGTACATATAGCTCTGCTTATGTTCTTATTGGTGCTTATGTAACGGAAAACTAGTAATTCAAAGACTAACCTTGGAAACAAGTGGAAAAGCTTGTTTTCAGAGCCTGTCAGATCAGTGGAGCGTCCTTTTGCAAACTGCTAACCTGTCCCATTTTGAAAATAAGCATTTCCTCTTGTTTCTGGTTTTCCTGCTCACACAGCTTCCCATTGTTCCAGTGGTGCACCTATTAGCATGCAAGAAGATTTTTGTACAAGCTTGTAGAATGTAATCAGTATTCAAAGGAAGTTAAGAGTAACATTTTACACTCAAAGTTGGTTCAGATGATGGTTTCTATGTATACAGGACATCTGCTTCATACATCACAGTGGCAAATCATGGGCTATTGAATCTGTGATTTACAAGGATGCTCACTCCTTTCAGTCCATTTCTGGTTTCAGTAAGCACCCTGTAACTGGCATGATCAGAGGTTGTCAACATGACATGCCAGTTGAGACTGATGGATTGTAAGGATTAAACAAGTCAATAATCCATGATTTGTTGTTGGATTAACTGCTGGGTTGTTTAGCCAACAAATAACTAATCCAATTATCTATATAATTATTA